AAAAAAAAAAAAAAAGGAAACTCCTTATACTAACTGGTCTTGCAGGGCAACAGAAATGGGAGGAAGACTGATCAAATAAAAGTAAAAATCGTACTTTGTTTATGCACATTTAACTTATGCTGATTTAGAGATCTACCCACCCTCCACCTCCCACAAGATATATCTAAAATTAGCAAAAGGAGTTATTTATCTGAGTTAATTTAAATAAAGTCTATCTCTTTAAGAATCAAACCTTTAAAAATTAAGACCAGGGCCGGCCAAGTGGCACATTGGCTAAGAGTTGGCTTGGGATGTCAGCTCTGAGCAGCAGGGCCCTGGTTCAAATCCCACATTAGGGCCAGTGACGCTGCGCCCTCTACAGCTAAGATGGTGAACAACAGCTCAACCTGGAGCTGGGCCGCCGTGAGTCACCAGGGACGGCATAGGCTGCAGTGGGGCTGCAGTGGGCTGTCCTAAAGCTACTGTGAGTGGCTGGCAGCCAGCGTGAGCAGCTGGCAGCTGGCGTGAGTGGCCGTCCAATGGCCGGCGAGCAACTGCCTCAGCCTGGAAGACTGCAAATGATAATACCAACATGGGCCAGTTAAGCGACATCCTCCACAACTAGACAGAAGAACAAAAGGACAGCAACTTGTCTGTTCTCCTTCCCTGATTCCCCAACGCTGTTCCCCTCCCCCAAATCCCTGATAAAATCTAAAAAAAAAAAAAGTTAAGACCAAACCTTCCCTTATCTGTTTTCTTAAAGAGAGAATATTGAACATAAATTTTAATCTTCTCATGAGCTCAAGGGCATTGACACTAATAAACATATTTGTTGTGCAAGTAACAATTCCATCTACCTTTTTCCTCATTACTTGCCAAATGTAACTTCCCACTTCTGTTATTATTTCTTCCTCTGATGAACCCTTTTATCCCACTCTTTTGAGTTTGAGGCTTCCAATATGTTTCCGGGTGGGAGATGAGAAGTCTGAGCTTGTGGAGAGCTAGATGTTAAGAGCCCACGAGGTTCTGAGTAAAAGTCTAGAGTAAATAAAGTGCATAGTTGCCCTGCATAGTTCTGGGATGGTGGCTTTTAGATCTGTTAAGTGGTCTCTCTAGCTTACTTCAGTGATAGATAGCACAGGATAAGGTGACCAGAAATCTGCCGCCAGATAAGTAAGTTATCACGGTACTATGCACCAAAAGAGGGAAACAAAGCAGTCCAAATGAAACAGTATGAATCATTTACTAAAAAAAAGTATGGAACTGGCCATGATGAATGACTTCAACATCTGGGTTATAACTATTTAAATATTTATACTTTAACACAAATTACCGAGGCAGCTCTGCTCCTCTGTGGGTTGAGACTTTGGATATGAAAGCTTTCATGCTCTTTGAGACTTGAGTTAAGTCATAGCTCTCCTCCTTGGAAACAGGCTCTGGTTCTTTTTTGGCAGCAGCTTCCTGCAGTAGCTGGTCCAGCTGATCCGGTGAGAGATCTAACCACCGGTCATCTGAAAAAGGAGAAAGCATGATACTACCATCCTACATTCACATGACAGGTATTCTTGGGGAAGAACCCTGTGAGGTTTAGTGGAATGTTTTGATTTTTTTCTAACCCTTCTGCTCTATCCTGGTCCATCACTTACCATCTTCTGAGGGAAGATTAGCTTCTTCCTTCTTTAGCATTTCGATATCAAATGGTACTGTCTGTAATAAGGTTAAGATTTCTTCACCTGGGCTCATAGCAAGAGAGCTATAAAAAAAAGACATAAGTATTTTTTTTATAAGAGTGCTCAGAATAATAATCACAAAAATATAGCACAGTAAAACCTTGGATTGCGAATAACTTGGTTTGCGAGTGTTCTGCAAGATGAGCAAACATTTCTAATACACTTTAACGTGGTAAATGAGCAATGTCTTGCAATGTGAGTAGTTTGTTTCTAGAATGAATTATGCTCACAAACCAAGGTATTACTGTATTTTAAAGTCAAAAGGAATTATCTAGTCTAATTTGTTTTTAAACATTTGTTTTAGGATACAGACCCTTTTTCCTCAAATAAAATTTTACCAGGAACTCTAAAATATAAGAGCTCAAAGAAAAACTGCTTTGCACGGCAAAAGAAACCATCAACAAAATGAAAAGGCAACCTACTGAATGGGAGAAAATATTTCCAAACCATGCATCTGACAAGAGGTTAATATCCACAATATATAAAGAACTCATATAACTCAAAGGTAAAAAAACAATCCAATTAAAAAACAGGCAGAGGATCTGAATAAGCATTTTTCCAAAGATACAAAGGGCCAACAGGTATATGAAAAGATGCTCAACATCACTAATCATCACGGAAATGCCAATCAAAACCACGAGGTATCACCTCATATCTGTTAGAATGGCTATTACCAAAAAGACAATAGATCACAAGTGTTAGAGAGGATGTGGAGAAAAGGGAACCCTTGTGCACTGCTGGTGGGAATGTAAATTGGTACAGCCACTACAGAAAACAGTATGGAGGTTCCTCAAAAATTAAAAATGGAGCTGCCATATGATCCAGTAACCCACTTTTGGGTATGTATCTAAAGGAAATGAAAATAGGATATTGAGATATCTGCACTCCCATGTTCACTGCAGCATTATTCACAATAGCCAAGATATGAAAACAATGTTAAGTGTCCATAAACAGATTAATGAAGAAAGATGTGGCATATACACTCAAAAGAATATTATTCAGCAAGAAAGAGGCAAATTCTGTCATTTGCAACAACATGAATGGAGCTTCAGGGCATTATGCTAAGTAGAATATGCCAGACAGAGAAAGACAAATACTGTATGGTATCACATATGTGTGGAATCTAAAAAAAAAAAGTCACACTCATAAAAACAGAGTAGAAAAGTGACTGCCAGGGACTAGGGGGTGAAGAAAATAGGGAGAGGTTAGTAACAGCGTACAAACTTTCAGCTATAAGATGAATAGTCTGAGGTTCTAATGTAAAACATGGTGACTGTAGTTGATAATACTGTATTACGTAATTGAAATCTGCTAATATAGAACTTAAATGTGGGCCAGTGGAGTGGTGCATTGGTTAAGAGTTGGC